TCTGTCCAATTTTAAAGCCATCTTTTAAAGCCATCCAAGTTGTTGGCCAACACTGCCTCCTGCAGGAGCGGGTTCCATAGTTTAACTCTGCAATAGAATGAATAATTTAAAAAATCTGTCCGGAACCTTCCAAAATTCAGCTTTATCGGGTGTACATGAGTCCTAGAATTATGACAGAGGGAGAAAAGCTTTTTCTCCATCCACTTCCTCCATTCCATGTATAGTTTTGTAAACTTCTATCATGTTGCCTCTTACTTGCCTTTCCTTTAAATGAAAAAATCCCAAATGCTTCAATGTTTTGTCATGGATGAATTGCTTCCACCTTGCTCATTTTGGTTGCCATTTCGTTAACCTCCAGATTTTTGGACTAGAACTCCAGTGAGCATTAGCCGGATCAGCCCAAATGGACAGGGATTAGTGGGAGTTGTGGTCCACGGAATCTGGATGGCGCCAGAATGGCGAAGGCTGGGGAAAAAAGATCACAACCCTGTGGAAGGGATGAAGAATAAAGCGCTGTTACGGAGAAAAGAAAGGGAAACGGTGGAAAGATTAATGGGAATTACTCCTATGGGGGAGATTTAAAGTGCTGCACCTAGGGAGAGTGTTTCAGTGAGGCAAGAACCTGCTCACTGCCTCTGAGATTGGGTGGTCTGGCTTCCATCCATAGGGACAACATCCAGTATGTGCAAAGCATATCTGTGCTCAGAGTACATGTCGAATACATGGCCAAGGATTTGAACAGCCTGTGGGCCTTCCCACCAGTCCACACATGTACTGCCAGTCACAATCCATCAGTAGTACTCCAAATATATGTTATGAATAATAGCTTTGTTTAGACAAGCATTTCAAGGGTTCAAGGTGCTTCACGGATAATTGTACCAATCATTACTGCAACAGCCCCAACTGTTATGCCAGGACCATTATTGTCCCTACCTAGGAGGTATGCTAAGTATATATAATGGTTTGTCTAAGGCCATGGGCGTAGCCAGGATTTAGCGGGGTGGGGGTTGGGGCAGGACACCCACCTGACCTGTTCCAGAACCGAGCTACCTCTGACACGAAGCCGCACCTATCGCTCAGTCAGGTTGTCAGTTGCATCGCTAGAATGCACCGCAACATCATCCAAGTAATAATATTAATAATAATATTTATACCCCGCCCATCTGGCAGGGTTTCCCCAGCCACTCTGGGAGGCTCCCAACAGAACACTAAAACAATAAAACTTCAAACATTAAAATTTTTCCTAAACAGGGCTGCCTTCAAATGTCTCACAAGTGACCTCAGTGAATGTTTCAATTTCAAATATTCTGATTATTTCTACTTTGAGTTAAGTATTGTTATTTGTTTATAGTGGTACCTTGGGTTAAGTACTTAATTCGTTCCGGACGTCCATTCTTAACCTGAAACTGTTCTTAACCTGAAGCACCACTTTAGCTAATGGGGCCTCCCGCTGCCACCGCACGAATTCTGTTCTCATCCTGAAGCAAAGTTCTTAACTTGAGGTACTATTTCTGGGTTAGCGGAGTCTGTAACCTGAAGCGTCTGTAACCCGAGGTACCACTGTACTTGATTTAGGCGGGGGCAGCTGCTCCTGCCCCCTGCCCCATGGCACATCCATGTCTAAGGCCACCTATTGAGTTATGTGGCTGAGATGACATTTGAACCCCCGCTGTTGGTCCCTGCAGGAGTGCTACCTTGTGAGTATTTGACTGCAGATGGACCACGCTCACATTGTGGTACCATGTGTGTGAACTACTGCCTTCTAGAGCCCTATCTGCAACTGCTTCCGTTTGTACCATTTAGCTGCTTCGGTTGCAAGCCTGGTGGCTCCATGCAGTCCTGAGATTATGCCAGGTATGAACCCTCCTTCACCAGCATGCTGCAAAGTTAAAGATGGCAAAGCATTCTACACGTCATAGTTCTTTCTGCCTTTCCTTACTTAGATATCCCAATGGCCCACCTTGTCCAGCATCCCGTTCTCACAGATGCCTGTGGGAAACCAGAGAGCAGAATGGGAGCACAAGAACGACTCTCCCTTCCTGTGCTGCCTCCAGCTGTGGAGGGGAAAAGGAATAGCCAGCTAGCCCTCTCCATAGATTCCTCTAATCCTCTTTTAAAGCCATCCAAGTTAATGCCATCACTGAGGGAGCGAATTTCATAGCTTGACGATGTACTGCATGAAGGAAACGATGGTGGTTTCATGGGCTTTGAGACAATCCCTGGGAGAGATGGCTGTTGCTTCCATTGTACCCACAGGGAGTTGAAGCTCGGAGTAAAACAGCCCAAACTAGCGTTTCCTTGTGAGTTCTTCCCTGACTGCAAAACGTTCCTTGTTTGTTTCAATGGAGAATGCAGTTCCGTGCCTTTTTCTTCCGTTCTACATAGATGTCCCTTGACTAAAATGAATTGAAATGAATAGATGTCCCTCGACTGAAATGAAATCTGCATATGCTGTTCCTGCATGTGCAGGAAGAGCATATGCACATCAAAGCAAACACAAGAGTCTGAGTTAGGGTCACTTGCCCAGGAAGACTTTCTGTTGTAATTGGCTGAAGCAGACAGCTGAATTGAGGCCTAAATCTAATGCACTCTCCATTTCATCACCAAGGCTTCTGTTAGATACATATCCCAATTCAAATATGAGTAAGAGTCCTGTGGCAGTTTAAAGACTAACAAATTTTATTATGGGATAACCTTGTGTGGGCTAGAGTTAAGTTCATCAGGTGCACAGAGTATCCTAAGTTGGCAAGTGTACATATACATGGTTGCATATCCTCCATCATTTTTCTGATGAAAATTGGCATTTTATTTTATTTTATTATTTTTTATTTCTACCCTGCCCACCTGACTGGGTTACCCCAGACCAGGCATAGGCAAACTCAGCCCACCAGAAGTTTTGGGACTACAACTCCCATGATCCCTAGCTAACAGGACCAGTGTTCAGGGATGATGGGAATTGTAGTCCCCAAAACATCTGGCGGGCTGAGTTTGCCTATGCCTGTCCCAGACACTTTGGGCTGCTTCCAACATATATAAAAACGTAATAAAACATTAAACATTTTAATAAAAACCTTCCCTATTCAGGGCTGCCTTCAGCTGTCTTCTAAAGGCTGAGTAGTTACTTTTCTCCCTGACTCGGGGGTTGCATAACTCCATATCCCCACATTTTTTTGATGAAAATAGGGACGTCTTAAGGAAAAGTGGAACGTTCTGGGATCAAATCAGAAACTGGGATGGCTTCTGTAAATCCAGGACTGTCCCTGGAAAATAGGGACACTTGGAGGGTCTGTGGTTGTGGGGAATGCGAAGGACCATAGCTCAGTAGAAGAGTACAGTGGTACCTCGGGTTACATACGCTTCAGGTTACATATGCTTCAGGTTACAGACTCTGCTAACCCAGAAATAGTGCTTCAGGTTAAGAACTTTGCTTCAGGATAAGAACAGAAATCGTGCTCTGGCGGCGCGGCAGCAGCAGGAGGCCCCATTAGCTAAAGTGGTGCTTGCCTTGGATGCATGAGGTTCCACGTTAAATTCCCTGTTGCTTCAAGTAGGGCTATGAATGTCCCATGTCTGAAATCTTGGAGAGCTGCTGCCAGTCAGTTTAGGCAATATTGAGCTAGATGAACCCTGCTCAGTGCAAGACAATTTCCTGTGTCCCTAATTATAAGCAGTGAGGTTAGAGAGGGATACGAAATGCATACAGCAGCGAACTGACAATTATCTTAAACGTATGCAAAATAATGACAGATAATTCACAAAGCGGTGTTGATAACAGAAACATCCTGGCATCCTTCAGCCTTTTGAAACTTGTAATGGGAAAAGAAAAGAAATGTCAGGCCTCAGGTGATAGATTTGAACTTCTTGATAAGTTGTCTTTCCACTCTGGAGTCTCCCTTTGAAGTTCCTATGTTCGAGAATGGCCACATTAAGGTTGGCGACAGAGTGTTTGAGGGCACTGAAATATTCTCTAAATATTGCCCTTTCTGAGATCAGAGTTGTGTCAATTTATGTTCACAGGTGTAAAATATTATAATAATAGTTGTATTATTGTAAATAATAATGATGATGATGTATCACTATGATTATTATTATGACAGCCAACTCCCCCCTTATGTGGGGAGTTCATTTCAGGCCATTACACACTTGTGTGAAATCGCATATGATCAGAACACCCACTGAAAAAGCCTGCAAGCAGCGGTTTGACTTCAGCCACCAGATGCGTACTCCATTGTCTCTTGAAACAGACAGATGCCAGCTACGTCAAGATTAAGCACATCTAGAGTCACACTTCGAAAAGTAGGCAAGAGGCCACATCTGCACTATATACTTAAAGCCGTATCATACCTGTTTAAATAGTTATAGCTTTCCAAAGGAATCCTGGGAGCCCTAGTTAGTTAAGGGCACTGAGAGTGGATAGAAGAGTTCCACTCCGAGAACTACAATTCCCAGAGTCCCAATGGAAGAGGGAGTGATTCTTAAACCACTCTGGTTAGTCACCATCAGCTCAGACAATTAGTATGACATTATGGCGCTTAATCTTCTGGCCACAGGAAGGAAGGAAGGATGGAAGGAAGGAAGGGAGAGAGAAAGGAAAGCTAGAGCTTATTTTAGTAAACACCAGCAATTAAACATGAGCAAATAGGCATTCGTTTAAAAGGAATGTTTTCCATTCAAGTAGTACATTTCTGTTTCCAGTCACTTTGAAGGGACTTCTTACCCTTTGAAGGAATCAAAGATAATGCCAGCATGCAGACAACCGAGGACGTAAATGGAATTTGTTAAAGGTAAGTTAGAGGACTGGCTTACTAACAAGAGGGTGTGAAGAGAATGGTGGTCTATGCTCCTATCGGAATGTGTGAGAGCAGCTGCCTGAAACCATCTATTCCCCGACTCGAATCTTCCTCTGCATATTGGACATAACAGCAGGCTAACTTAAAGGGTTCTTGTGAAGAGAAGGTTGGTAATGCCTGGCTTGAGTCCTGTGCATTCAAGGAATTACTGCTGGGATAGCTGTGTCGCTAGAGCACGAGACTTTTAATCTCAGGGTTGTGGGTTCGAGCCCCACATTGGGCAAAAGACTCCTGGATTGCAGAGGGCTGGACTGATGACCCCTGTAGTCCCTTTCAATTCTATGATACTAAATTTAGTTTTCCAAGCATATTTGGCCTTACATTATTTTTTTTAGGTGCCATGTTAAGCCCAATGAACTCAAGTTCTGATCAAGCGCTGACTAGGTTCAAAGTAAACTAAAGTCAACCTTTTTCATCTTAGCTTCCTAAACATGAATTCAGATATGAAGTACTATAGCCAGGGCACTATCTTAAAGGTGAGGGAGTTGGATCACATACTGTCATTATAATGAGACATGGCTGGGGGAACGAGGTTCTAAGGCTTATAGTTAAAAAATGGTTCAACTCTTAAAACTTGGCAGTGTAATAAAAGCAAGCTTGGTGGATGGCCCATGCCAAATTTGGGGTAGAAAGGATATTACTTGTTTTAAGCAAGCTAAACATTTGGTGAGACTGGCATACTGACAGATGCTGTGCATTTTTCTTCCATAGACTTCGCTGAGGTATTTTTTTCTGGAAATATTTCTCCATTTGCATTGTGCCTTTTGGGAAATAGTTTGTTGTGTTAGGTCAAGGAGAACATATTTAGTGTGTGCTTTTCCCTATTATTAGCGTAACGTATCTGTAGTCTTTGGAGTAAGCTTAGGCCCGCCCTGTGGAACTCCCTCCCATCAGATGTCAAGGAAATAAACAACTATCTGACTTTTAGAAGACACCTGAAGGCAGCCCTGTTTAGGGAATTATTTAATTTTTGATGTTTTATCTTGTTTTTAATATTCTGTTGGGAGTCGCCCAGAGTGGCTGGGAAAACCTAGCCAGATGGGCTGGGTGTAAATAATAAAAAAATATTATTATTATGGCTTCATAGCTCCCTGATTAACAATTTAAACTGCATTGTATTGTTGAAAAAAGAGGAATAAAACTTGGCAGATATTAATATTCAATCAACCAAAAATGGTATTTCTTGCTGGGTACTTGTAAAATGGGGTGGTAGATTCAATGGCATTGGCTACATGTGCCTATTCCAGTGAACAGACAAGTCTTAAGATGTAGGTCCCATCACACTACTGTTTTTTTTATTTGGTGGATTTATGTCCTGCTTTTGGCCTGGAGTCTGAAAAACAACCAACCAACATTTATAAAGCACAACAGGAAATACATAGTCTTGCAACAGCAAGCTTCCTTTTCTCTTGCATTCACCACTACACACAAACATAACAGATTGGGTTGTAGTTTTATCCCCACTCCCCCAATGCAATCACAATTTGGGAGTACCTGTGGGCCTGCTATATTTTCCAGAAGAGGACCTAACCATTCATGGATAATTTGCAATTCTATATAGCCTGAACTCTGGAGCTTGATTTCCATATTCCTTTCATGTATACTATGAATTACAAATAACCAAACTCTCTTGAAGTGCAGAGGTATACTGCACAAAAAATTACTGCTGGGGATCAGAGTGTACTTTTTGTTTTGTTTTTCCACGAACAGTTCACATTAGGATTCTATTAATGTTAGCAGTAATCTAAATATGGAGAAGTGTACAGCCAGGAAGACATTACTGCACTAGCTGTATTCAGAGAAGTATGCACTGTTGTATTTAGCTGCAAAAAATCTTATGTAGGTGCACCCATGAAAAATAGGCCACACTGTACATGTGTCCATATCCAAGTGCTTCTGGAGTTTTTTGCCTATCTCGTCCCAAACGAACATTATTTGTTAAAAAATCCTGCCTTGCTTTTGCATAGAAATGCTCAAGGAAGCTAAAGTCCAGCCATAATTCCTAGCGAGGGATAGTAATTTTCCAAAGCAGTGCAATTATGAATTACATAATATGGTTCAGGCCCTACCTAAAGGTCCAAATCAAAAGTTTAGCACCAGGAGTGTGTTTTTTGGACCTCTAGCAGTTATGCCATAGGGCATTTTATGTTGCTTAACATCCATATGAAGCTGTTGAGAATAGTTATTAAGAGATTTGTGGTCAGGTGCCATCAATATGCTGATAAAATAAACGCAGCTCTATTTCTCCACATCTGAATCACAGGAGGCTGTGCAGGCCCTGGACCAGGGGATGCTGGGAAATTAACTAGGCTTGAATCCTGGCAAAATGGAGGTTTTAGGGGCAAGTGGTTCTTGTGTCTGAGAAACTGGCTGATTTCCCATGCTGGATGGGGCAGCACCTCCTCTGAAGGAGCCCCCACAGCCTGGGGACTTGCATGGGGGTTTTCGCTTGGGAACCACACTGCAAGGGATGTTGTCAGCCCCATGTTCAGTGCTTGGGGAAACTAGTGCTGACAAAGTGGTTGTTTGTCGCCTCCCGTCCATTGACAAGGACAGGAGAAACAAGGCTGCAGTTTGCAAGTGTGACTGTTTTGCTTTGCTGCAGTTGCTTGCAAAATGTAGTTTTGTTTCTCCCCTCTGTGCCATATGATGGGGGAAGAAGAAGCAAGGCTGCTTAGCGCTGGGTTGGGTCCATGAGAGGCAGAACCACACCCAGCACTAAATAGGACCTGCCTTCCTCACATCAGCTCATCATCAGGGGTGTGATCCTGCTTGGTCCAAATGCACTTAATTTAAATACATGGAGGGGCAGGCTGAATGGAATTTTGTGTTGCTCTGACTTATGAACATGGAGAGGGGCAAATGCACTTGATCCACCTTCAGCTTCCCTGGGATGCAACGTGCAAATGTAGTCTACATGCATAAAATCTAACATGCATAGGCCCATTCCACCCCACCCCCCCAGCGGACATGTGAATCTTTAAACAATGAATATCATGTTAAAGAAGGATGCAAATAGCTTACTCTATTCAGAGCAGGTGGTCTCATCCCACACATACCCAAAATTTAAACACAATTTAAATGGAATGGGTTTATTTTTGAATAGTAAACATTACACAGTGATCATTATTCACATTTAATAAATAATGCCAGCCGAATTATATGCACTGTATTGTTTTTCTTCAAATCAGAAATTAGCAATGATTTTCTATATATAGCCACAAGAAAACTTAGCAAGATTCCACTATCCCATATAAAAATAATTTCTTCAGTCCAATGCAAAGGTATATGGAATGCTAGGAAGATTCTCTTTAATAAATTATGTAGTTGCAAACAAAGTCAACAGTCCCTTTACAAAAGAAACTATTTCATTGCCTCCTAGTTTAGATTCGCCATAGACTCTGTCCACAAATGATATAGGTACCTATTAAAAAAACAAAACACAAAATTATTTTAGTTTTAACATAACAAGTTCAAGAAGTAATAGAAAGAAAAAAAGGGCCACTTCAGCTCCATCTAGCATCATGTCCAGAATAAAATCTGCTTTGGTGAGAAGGTATGAAATGATGGCACCTATGTTATCATAGCCATTTTCACTGTCAAAATCTAGTTCTAATCCAAAGCATCTCAGCTACCATCTCCTGTAAAAGCATGTTCCTAGTGTGCATGACTGGATCTTGCATGTGGTGGCAGAAGCTCCAATGGCTCAGAAGAATAGTTAAGGCTCTCCTTTCTCTTTGTGGTTAACATGGTCTTTCAAGCAGTGGCTGAAAACTTTTCTGTTCACTCAGGTTTTTGACAGCATTTTAATCTGACGATTTTCTGCAGCAAAATGTCCTGCTATGTTATTCTGTCTGTTATGTTGTTTTAATGATTTAAATTGTTTTGTTTGTTTGTTTTTTTAAAGAAACATTTGTGTTGGACCCCAGGATGGAGTACAAGAAAACAGCATAAACACTAGATTAGAACAATAACATCAGCAATTACAGGGGACATAAAAAGTAATTACAGCAGGCATAAAAAATTACTTCTCTGGCTTACACTCCACCCACAAACACCTGGTGAAAAGAAGACTTGAGAACAAAAAGACATCAGTGAGGGATACACCCCCAAAGGGAGGGAGTTACACAGATCTGGTGGTACTGCAGAGGGGGTCCTATCTCGCATCACCACCCAATAAGCCGTATTTGCAGATGTCAATGCCTGGATGAGCAGATATAGGGAGAGGCCCTCTTTCAGCTTTGTAAGTTAAAGTCAAGGTCTTGAATTGGGCATGGCTGCAAACAGCCTGGCAAAAATATTATTAAAACTCTTTGTTCAAAAGGCAGGGTATAAATCTTTTAAACAAAGGGAAAAGCAGAGACAAAATCCTGTTTGGCTTTCTTTTCAGCATCCCCATCTATGTGGTGGTGGGTTTTCCATATTGCAGCAGAATTCATCACCATCTCAACAGTAGTTAAAATAGTGTTATACCTACAATTAGTGTTATACTTCCAAGGGATACATACTCGGGCTACAATCCTACACACACACTAGCCTCAGACAACAATTGCTCTTGTAGCACCTTAAAAACTAGCACACTTTATTCTAGCATGATGCATGAAGTGTAATTCTCAGTTGCCGGTATATATGGTTGTAAATAGTGGGATAAGGGGGAAACAAAATGCAAAAAGTACAAATACCGGCAATTCAATTGAGAGCTAATATATGCACAATAAGTAGAGTGACCCTTTACAAAAGCAGTGCCAAGTGTTATCTGGAAGTAACACAGTACTTCCACTGAATGCAGGAAATATTCAATGATAAACGTGCATAGGATCACACTGTTAGGGGAATTAGCACAGTCCTATGAACAGAATACTAGACTTGATCTGGAGAAGCATGTGAATTCATATAGCCCTGAGAAAGTTACTACCTCTCATCCTGAGTGCCTTATCTGTAATTTGGGAACAATACTAACCTACCTCACAGGGTTGCTGTGAGAACAAGAGAGGCAAATGTTACTGTATATACCTTCTAAGTGTTAAATAAGATTACCAGTAAGCCTAACATGCATTTTATTTTTGTAGCAAACATATTGAAGTGCTGCTCCTTTAATAACTATATTGCACATGGTTCTAATTCAGTAGCTATTCATTTAAATATAGTAAACACTGATTTGCAGTGCTTTAGAATGCCAGCTATTTTCACTATACTGAAGCAGGAACTTTAACATTCCAGCGTGTAAGACTACTATATGTTAAATAATACCCAAGGGCCCAAAGTCAGACGGTGGAATCCACAGAAAGTCTGGCTAGGTACTCTCAGTTGGCATACTGAACCAGAAATCAGCTGGCAGGCAGAAATGGAAAAAACCACGCTTCCCACACACATGCCGCTCTGCCAAACATGAGTTGTTGCATCTCTAGGCAATAGTTTCTTCTGCCAATGGAGAGCCAAAGGCAGAGGCTTGTCTAGTACATTTTCAGTTGCTTCAACGACAACAAGGGCACAGTCTTGAGACAGAATTGCTAAAGAATCTGGGACTCCTACTGGAGGCTCTTGCCAGTGCAGGAAAAAGCAGCTTGGAATGTAGTGGAATGAGACAGTCTAGAACGCTTATGCTAAAAAATAATCTCATAAAACATGTTTATTTTCTTAGCAGTCTTGTACCTGTTTGGGAATCCTAAGAAACCAAAAAAGAAGTACAATTTTGAAATCAGTGATTAAAATCAGTGCAGTTCTGAAAGGTTCAGTCCACTATCTTGATTCAAAATGGTATCTAAGCATAGATAAAAACCTGCTCCTTGATGTCAGGAACCATCATGCAAAATTTGGTTACATAGGATGAGATTCAACTGCCCTGTTCTGCTACTGGAAACCAGTGCAAGGACTCCCATTGGCGCAATGGGGTTCCCCTGTTCCCTCTCATACCCGCCTCCCCCAAATCCACTCTGGAGGATTGGGAGAATGTCCAGAACAACACACTGGGGGAGCCAAGGGGAGATCATTCCATAGGGCAAAGCAGAAATGGAAGGAATGATTTCCTTAGCACTACAACTGAATTTCGCCCAGTATCTTAAGAGATGTCCAAATGCATAGTGAACAAACAACTTTCCAAAATACAGAGCAGAATCCACAACAAAGGCAGGCCACCATGTTTGTGCGAGGGTGCCAAGAAGAGATTTTCATCCGCAAAAGAAGCACCCACACCTGCTGTTGTTTAAAGCTTGTTAAAATAAGGAATGACTGTTGAAGTTAGGTACATATTAGGTAGACATTTGTTAATTAGGGCTTTCCAGTGTACTATGGCATAGATAGGGATTAACTTTTATCCCTAATTCATTAATAGCAATTAAGTTGACAGTCCAAGTCTAAATAGTTGCTGGAAGGTTGGAGAGAACTAACTCGTAGTTGCACAGTGTCTGTATAACTGATCTGAATTAGGGGTTATGACTGGAGATCATTGGATTATTGGCTCAATTCAATACATTTTTGAGAACACATGGAACTCAAGCGGGTACCTGTCTCAGTACAGGATGTTAAACAAATTAAATATTCATATTTTTAACAGCAATTACCACAAGCCTACATTTGTACGTTGCTGACTGCCAAGCTCCTCACAACATTACATAATTTGTGTAATTTCTGTCACAATATTAGATTTAGTAGTTCTCAGGCTTATTACACCTCCTGGGCCATTTTGCAGCTGTTAGCCAATTATTATTCTATTATCAGTCAGGTAAATTTATAATATTTAAAATGTAGTGTTTGTGATTTAACATTCTTTACCTCTCCAACAGAGAAACCCAGTTGTCTGGCCCGGACAATCATTTCCATCTGGAAAACATATCCTTTTGAGACGCATTTCTCCATCAGTTTTTGTAAAACATCTTTTCTATATAACCTACAGAGAAAGTATATAAAATCAAAACCTCTTGAAATATTTCCGTTATACAAACACTCCACAATTGCAGTCTTTACTCCCAAAATTAAACAAGCTTTACAATTTCAATCCATGTCTGACATTATTATCCATTTCAAATTGACCATTAATTTTATTGCTCATCTTTGAAAGCTGAATGCAACGTTAGAAGCAACACACCTGAAGCTGCCTGTTAAGTCGGATGCACCTGGCCGCAGTAGAACTTGAGTTAGGAAGTTGGCGCCACGGCTGCCAAGAAAGATAAGGAGTTTTGGTAAACATTTAGAATCCGATGTTGAAAAATCACAAACTGTTCTATAGATGGGATTTCACTATAATAACATTGGCCTGCGTCAATACAAATGCATAATTTGGAAGAGTTTGCTAATTCACATCAAGCCAAGAAAAGAAGCATGTAGAAAAAAAAAGATTTATCTATCCCAGTTTGTAAATTAAATTGTTTATATATTGCCAAACACAACCAGGAGAATTACAAGAATAAAAGATAATCAAATCTCTGCCCACAGGTTTACTATCTATGAAGTAGGACGGGGGGGGGGATGCAAGAATAATAAAAAAGCAAGAATAAAAGACTAATCTGGAACAGTACAAAAGGAGGAGGAGAGTTAATAACAGAACTCAGAATCCTCCTGTGTGGCTTTTTCTATCACAGACCTTGAATGGTGGAAGAAGTAGCTACCAACCTGATCAATTTTCGTTTCAAATCCCACCCATGCACACCTCCATTTCCTTTATATCGCGTTCCAGACACAATGTCAAAGTTACCTTCTTTCTGTGTTCTATGTAAACATTTGAGAGGAAGAGGGAAACACAATTACATTAACAAAAACCTATTAACTTCCAGTAATCTAGGTCCGATTTAATACAATAAATTCAGCTTAAGGAAGGCACCAAGTTGAGAAGGGGAGAAAAAGGGTCCATTTGTGACTGGCAGGTCTAGGCTGTAGTAAAAGGGAGTAATTTCAACTGGCAAACTAATCCCTTTTAATTCTTCCCATCTTAGTTTGCCAGTTTGAGGACCAGGCAAAAAGCAATAATAACAGAAGAAACAATCAACAGTATAGTAATTTTCTTTGTTTTACTATGCCTCCTCCAGTGCCTCACTGTTTCAAGCACACAAAACACTCGTTTCCATAAAAATAGCAGAGAAAAAGGGGTGGGGAGCAAGACTCAATAAATACTACATGAATGCAATCACTTTCATTTTCTAAGCTATCACTATCAGTTTCTGCTTCTTCATATGTATCAAACGATGACAAGTTTGAGGTCAAGTCAAGAGGACAGAAAAGACAGAAACAGATCCGCCAACTACATCAACAAAAGGAAGCCCATAAGCAAAGAAAACCCGAATTCTCCCTTCTCTTGTGACAACGGCAGTGCCCCCTAGAGGCAAAAACGATTCTTGCTCTTGCATTTGAGAGTTGTACTCTAGGTGTACAGGAATCCGATACTCTTCATAGTTTTACATAAAAGTTTACCTGTTGCATAGTTTTTAGAAATCATTCTGGGGGAGTATGCTTATGAAAACCTAGTCTTAAAAACTTTATTCACTGTTTTGGAGGAAAATATTTCATAACTCATTATTTTTCAGAAAAACTCAAAAGCATAGGCAGAATATGTTCCCCCATGCCACCACAATTTTAAGAGGTTTTTTTTTGTGGGCTTTCACATCTCTGTGCTGCTATCCTTGTGAAGTTTGGCAGGATTCTGACCTTGCTGCAAACTTTATCCAATTCAAAATTATCCAATTCTTTATCCAATTCAAAATTAAAGTTTAGACTCTTCTTTTCTGATTTCTTTCATTGTTCAACCTATTGCCCATTGCTAATGTACCAAATGTAAATGCAGACAGGACAAAACATCTGCTTCACACGAAGAAGGTTGCAGGTTCATCCCCCAATATCTCCAGGTAAGACTGGAAGGGATTTCTGCCTGAAACCCTAGAGAACTGCTGCCAGTCAGTGTAGATTATACTGAACTAGTTGGAGAAATAGTTTGACTTGGTATAAGACAGCTTCATATGCACCTGGGCAATAAGTGTCAAGGTCTGACTGAAATATTTAAAAAATACTAAAAATATTAAAAATACTACCCACCTGATGAACTCTGGAATGAATTTTGGCTGAAACACAAAAGAGAGATGTGGGAAAATGAAAATATACTCCAGCTCAATGCAAGTTAAATAAAGAAAACTTTATAAAGGCTAAAGAAATGTATGCACAGATACAATGGAAACACTTACATGGTGTGAGAGGTCAGCATCCATAATAATAATGAAGTTGCCTGTGGCATGCTTCATTCCATGAATGTAAGCAGTCCCTGGTGTAAATGATACAAAGGCAAGATCTGTCACCCACATTCAGAATCATGTATGTGAGCTGTCAGCTACAAGGCTGATTCAGTTTCTCTTTAAAGTTAACATATGGAATAAAAAAAAAGCCCTACATTTTTATTGAATGGCTGCTTGATCAATCTGCTATCCCACTCCAGCCTGTCCCGGGCAACAGTTAGTCACACATGCATGAATTTCAAGCGGCTACTACAACCGCAAAACGTAGTGTATAAATGGGGATAAACAGTGTAATTTCATGGTTAGAGAAAATTGTGTAGGTTCGGCTTATTATTTAACTGGAGTTGTGGTATGTTGGATGCTGTTGAAAACCAACAAATATGCCTTCCTACCCCCAGAAAGGTATATATACATATGTAAGTTTTTTCCAAGTTTTCAACACACACGCTAACCAACAGAGTTAAAGGTATGATTAAACTTATGCTTTTTAAAATGGTAAACTGACCTGGGAGTTCAAGGTCAGGATATAAAACTTGTAAATCCTCAAATTACTGAATACTTACCCAATCCAAGTTTCTTTGCTCTGGGTCTTAAAAGCTGTAAAATATCAGTGGAAGAAATGAGCAACCGATTAATTGCATTAAATGATCCATGATTGTAGGTTTTTTTTTTTTATTTCAGCTAAATATTAACACTACCACAGTTGCTCTTCTCTCAAATAGGGCTGCTACACTTCCATATTTACAGAGCAACCTGCCTTTAACATTTGGATTACACAGACATTAATTCAGATCAAAACAGTTACAGAATATAGAGCTGTAGACCAAGTTTAGAATGGTCTGCTGAATATGGGAAATAGAGCCAAAGCTGGCTGAATCAGCTGTGCATGGTGCTTTGTAGTCCTGACTTTGGGTCTTTGAAGTCATTGCGATGTCAGGTGATTGACAGATGGTCAGCCCACCCACTTGTTGATTTCAGCCCAAAGAGCCAAAAAAGTCCCCCTCCCTTAGCGTAAAGTATGGATCACCACCAAGCACTTCAAAATAAGGGAGGCTTGACTAGCAGGGTTAGGGCATACACCTGCCATACATCTATGCTCTCTTAGACGCTCACATAAAAACTGCAGGGGCTTAGTGCAAGTAAGTTTGTTCATTATCAGAAATATGTATTGCATTTTTAAAAAATAATGCATTTCCAATTTTTCTTAGCAATGCTTCATCAAGAGGTATTCAGCAGCATATATACCTTTAAGGACTTAATTCTGTAAATATGAGTGGGCACAGTATCAAATGGATGAAAATGTATTGGATAATATCCAACTGAGTCACAATCAGAGTAGAACCCATTGCAATTAATGGACAAGTACAGTCCACTGATTTCAATGGATCTACTCAGACTACAACCAACATTGAATATTACCCACTGTATATGCAGCTGAAGAAGCATTGCTAACACTGCACCTGGATCCCCTGTTGCAGTGCTGAACATGACAAACTCTTCTGTGTGTGTCACAATGCAAAAATTATGGGGAAAGTGGTATCTGGTAGATTTATCACAGACAGCTATTAGAGCATCCCATGAGGTCAAGTGATGACAACTCTAAGAATTAGCACAACTTTATAAAGTGAAAATTAAAACTGCATCCAAATATGCTAATATCCAAATATGCTAATTCAGGATAATTCAAATTACTCCCAGTGTTGCTACCCATGTTATCAACCTGAATAAACTGGTAAACAATTCAGTGTTAAGAAAACGAACAACCCATGCATTCAAATTTCATCCCTTAATGCTAATATTATTAAGCATCTTGTGTTGTAACAGCAAACAAGTCATGGGAAAAAATAAACATATGACTCACAATCTTATCAGATCCATAAATCTTTATCAACTGTTCGGCAACTTCCTGGGTCCCATCAGGACTTCCATCATCTATTACTATAATTTCGAAATCATTTCCACTGAAAAAATAGAGAATTACATTTTAAAGCCAGGTTCAAAAGTTAAAGTATATAAAGTATTATAAAAGGGGGTAGGGGAACAGAGAGAAACAGCCAATGGTTCCTCATCAAAGGTAAATGGTGTTATTAATTCTATTACAATGCACTCTCCTCTCAAAATGGAACTGAAATGCTTCATAGTGCCCTTGCTCCAAGTAAATACAGCAGAGTAACGGCAGGGTTTGCACTGTTGGCCAATGCTGGTTATTCGTTTCATGGGTCACAGTTGCCCCAGGCATTTGCCTGATTCAGAAACTGAAGGATTAGAATCCTAGAAGTGGAAGGGACCCCAAGGGGCATCTAGTTCAACCCCTGCAATGCAGAATCTCAACTAAAGCATCTATGACAGATAGCCATCCATCATCTGCTTAAAAACCTCCAAAGGAGGAGAGTCCATCACCTCCTAAGGGAGGCAGTTCTTAATGTCAAAACGTTCTTCCTGATGTTTAAATGGAATCTCATTTATTGTAACTGGTTCAAGTCCATTGGTTCAAGTTCTAGCCCCCAGAGCAGGAGAAAACAAGCTTGTTCCATCTTCCATGGGACAGCCCTTTAGATATTTCAAGATGGCTATTGTATCTCCTCTCAGCCTCTTCTTTGGGCTAAACATCCCCAGTTCCTTCAACTGTTCCTCATTAAGGCTTGGTTTCCAGGTCCCTGATCATTTTGGTCACCCTCCTCTGCACGTTTCAGCTTGTCAATAGCCTTCTTAAACCATGGTGACCAGAACTGGACACAGTACTGGCCTGACCAAGGCAGAATAGAGTGATATTATTACTTTCCTTGACCTGGATGCTATACTTCTGTTGATGCAGCCTAGAACAGCATTAGCTTTTTGTGTGTGTTGGTGCATCACATTGTTGACTCATGCTAAGCCTGTGGTCTACCAAGACCCCTAGATCCTTTTCACAAATACTACTGGCAAAGAGTAGTATTTCACAAATACTACTCCAGGTGTCCCATTCAAGAGATCTGGCCCTTAAAGCCAGCATTCCAAATAAGTAAGTTAAAGGTAAAGGGACCCCTGACCATTAGGTCCAGTCGTGACCGACTCTGGGGTTGCGGTGCTCATCTCGCTTTATTGGCCGAGGGAGCCGGCGTAAAACTTCCGGGTCATGTGGCCAGCATGACTAAGCCGCTTCTGGTGAACCAGAGCAGCGCACGGAAAGGCCGTTTACCTTCCCGCCAGAGTGGTACCTATTTATCTACTTGCACTTTGACGTGCTTTCGAACTGCTAGGTTGGCAGGAGCAGGGAACGAGCAACGGGAGCTCACCCCGTCGCGGGGATTCGAACCGCCGACCTTCTGATCAGCAAGTCCTAGGCTCTGTGGACGCGCCACCCGCGTCCCTAATAAGTAAGTTACTACTCCATAAATAAAGCTATCAGATTGGATTTTGGCTCTTGATCAACACGCAATAATGTGCTTACAGCTGGTGAAAAATCATGTTTCAGGAGAAGTTGCTGGCAATCTACACATCGCTTGCTCCGTCTGTGAAAACAGGCTGAAAATGTTTACCATAGGCAAGAATCCAAAGACTGCTTAATGAAAACCTACAAAATCTACACTCTGACACTTACTCTCTTGCAGGTACACATAAACCAGTCTATAGATTGCCTTGAGACAGTGGTTTAGAAGGTGATTAATAAATTGATTTTCATAATAATATAGGAATGTCCCTGGAAAATCACCATCCAGTTTACATGCAGATAGGGGGAAATAATGTTTAGGTTTTACTCCTATCCTAAGACACACTTGCTTGGAAGGAAATCTCACTTGGACACGAATGAAAGTTTACTTCCAAGTAGACACGCATAGGCTTGTGACGCCAGGTTTTAATCCTATGCACAAACTCCCCTAAGTGTAAAAACCCCATTAGACACAGTGAGATTTATACGTACAGGGCTGCCCTGCGAAGTCCTAGCTTTTCTAAAACAAACAGACAGAAGTCATGTCTAAGCATATTCTATGGGGGCGTAATGGGTCTGACGCATCCTTAAAACCTAGTTATAGGGTGATGCCTGAAACAAACGAAGCAGACACAGTACATCTTTTACCCCTGGAAGCTAAGCAGACCCAACACCATCATGCCCTTACTTCGGGGTACATATACCACGGATTCACAACCCCCAACACCTTTAAAACGGCCTCGGGAGAAAAGCTTCTCCCCACGATATGGAGGATTCTAATTCGCAACGGCGACGATGGGAAACGGAACGGGGGTCTGGGAGATGGGGCTAGTTATTCCAGATTAACTAACGCGGAGTACAGGAACGGGGCGGATTTTTTCGGGGGGGAGCTCGTTAGCGCTAGGGGCTTTTTTGTATATAGTTAAGCCGCTGAAACGAAACCAGTCCCCTCCCCTCAGTCACCTCTGCTCGAAACTCCTCACCAGCAGCCACACAATGAGCGGCAGGTTCTCGCGCTCGTTGTAGGTGGGCAGCAGCACCGAGTACTTGTCCCGGGAGGCGGCCATGATGGTGGCGGCGGCGGCGGAGGAGGAGGCGGAGGCCTGGCAAGGGCGAGCCGACGTCGCCTGCGTGCCAACCGGCCTCCTCAGCACCGAAGAGCCGCGGAAGCGGAAGAGGCGAGGCCTCCCTCCGCTCCCTCCCTCCCTCCCAAAAACCAGCGGCTCGCCGCTGAGGCGTTTCTACCCTCTCCGTGAGGCGCTGAGGTAAATCATGGCGGCGGGAAAGCGCGCTGAGGGGAGCGTGTTGGGAGGCGGCGGCGGCGGCGGCGAGTCCCAGGAGTCGGAGGCGCCAGGCCCTCTTCTCCCGCTGAGCCGGCTGGACATCCGGCGCTACTCCCGGCAGCTGGTTCTCCCGGAGCTGGGCGTGAGCGGCCAGCTGCGGCTGTCGGGCTCCTCGGTGCTGGTGGTGGGCTGCGGAGGGCTGGGCTGCCCGGTGGCTCAGTACCTGGCGGCGGCGGGCGTGGGGCGCTTGGGCCTGGTGGACCCGGACGTGGTGGAGCTGGACAACCTCCACAGGCAGGTGCTGCACCGGGAGAGCCGCCTGGGCACCCCGAAAGCGCGCTCGGCGGCCTCGGCGCTGGGGGAGCTCAATTCCCGGGTGCGCTGCGTGCCGTACGAGCTGGCCTTGTCGCCCAGCAACGCCCTGCAGCTGGTCCGAGACCACGACGTGGTGGCCGACTGCTCGGACAACGTGCCCACCCGATACCTGGTCAACGATGCCTGCGTCCTGGCCGGGAAGCCCCTGGTCTCCGCCAGCGCCCTCAGGCTCGAAGGGCAGCTGGCGGTGTACAACCACCGAGGGGGCCCCTGCTACCGCTGCCTCTTCCCCAAGCCACCCCCTCCGGAGACGGTCACCAACTGCGCAGACGGGGGGGTCCTGGGGGTCGTGCCTGGCATCCTCGGTACCCTCCAGGCCTTGGAAGTGATCAAGATCGCCTCTGGCATGGGCGCCACGTGCCACGGGTCCATGCTGCTCTTTGACGCCCTGGAAGGCAGGTTCCGTCACATCAAGCTGAGGCCCAGGGACCCCAGGTGCGCCGTGTGCGGGGACCACCCCACGGTGACCGCCCTCCAGGACTACGAGGAGTTCTGCGGGTCGTCGGCAACGGACAAGTGCCGGGCGCTGCACCTGTTGAGCGGCGAGGAGAGGGTGTCCGTGGAAGAGTACAAAAGGGTCCTGGACAGCCGGGCTCCTCACGTGCTGGTGGACGTGCGCCCGCCGGTGGAAGTGGACATCTGCCGCCTGCCGCATGCCCTCCACGTGTCCTTAAGTAAGCTGGAAGGAGGAGACGAAGGATCCTTGAAGTCCCTGCGGCAGAGGATACACGAAGCGAGGCAAGGGGCGGGTGACAGCGCGGTTCTCCCCCTTTACGTGGTCTGCAAATTGGGAAATGACTCTCAGAAGGCTGTGCGAATATTGCAGGGGTTGTCTCAGAATGGACTTGGTCCCATTTCTGTCAAGGATATCAGGGGAGGGCTGATGGCATGGGCTAGCAAAATCGACGAAGAGTTCCCCCAGTATTGATGTTTTCTAAGAGCAATAGCGGTCAGTTTTTATTCAGGTGTTTCATTGATCACTGTGGTGGCTGAAAATATTTGTAATAATCCTGCAGAAGCCTTTTTGGAATATGTGAAATTTCTTTTTTAGGAAAAAAGTTCTTATTATTATAAAAGACAAATGTGTGTGTGTGTTGATTTGTTAATAAGTCGTATGGGGTTGTAGCCAATGCTAGTCATGGTCAGAGTAGACCCAATGAAATTAATGGACATCACTAACTTAGGCCTTTTACTTTTAATGGATCTACAGATGAGAAAATCTTAGATGCAACTCACATTGTGTCAGAAGAATTGCTTCCATAATAAGCTGGTTTATTTACATCTTTACTTTTGAATCCCTAGTACTTTTCCTTTTACTAGTATTGATGCTTGTCTTAAGCTGCGACAAAAGCCACATCAAGGCATATATCAGGTTCCATTTATGTATCGTCTAATACTCTTGAGAGCATTGAACATCACTGATCCAGTGAACTTTGAAAATGGCAGTCTCCCCTTCACTTTTCTTTATCATCTCCCTTGTGTGTCTTTAGTAATTGTTTTGCTTAACAAAGCTGAGAGAGAGCACTGTTCAACTTTCTCATGTGTTCCTTCTTCCCCTCTTTGCTGCACCCCACTATATCAGTTTGGATGCCATTTGCTGCCTCTACATCTTGGAGAATATTTGCTCCTGAGCCCTATTGGGTGTATGGGGTTTACATTTTGCACACATACTTTGCTTTCTCCCACACGCTATTGCTGGGAACTTTTGTTATCTAGCACTTCATCTCTTCCTTTAGCTCCAGACTCTCCATCTTTTCTTTATGACCTATAAAATCATGTGAGAGACGCATTCCTAAATAACTTAGAGGAAGACATTTATATAACCAATAACTTGAGGTTTCCCCCCTCATATCTGTTTGAACCCGACTAGTAGTGGATTTCGGAAAGAGTCATTTTCTGTACAAGAAGAAGATGGTGTCTGTTGTGTGCTATAGTATTCATCTCTATGCCTGTACTTCTGTACCAGTGTACAAATTTCCTCTGGCATGAAGTTCAAAGCTCATATGTTTACTCAACTAACAGATCTTGGGAGAATACTAACAGAACATGTGCTTCCTCAGTGCTGCAAAATAAATACATAAATCAAAATTAATTTGGCACACTGAACATATAAATGTATTCACAAGCATTTGCGTTGCTTTTTTCTGTGTTCAGAATTCATGATGTCAAACAGATCTTGGAGATTTGGGACAGAAAATAGGGTGAAACAGCTGTGCAATAAAGGTCACAATGGGAGGGAGAATGAGAGCCATGTGATTATTGATAGTTGAACAGATACTGTCCACACTCCCCCCACCCCAAATATTTCTTTGCAGACACAGGCATTAGATATATGAAGATGAAAGCTGGAGTTTGGGGAGTCCCTCTCACTTCAGTTGTTGCTTGCTATAAAATTTATTATTCCCAAATAATCTTTTTTTAAGTATCTGATTATGAGTTTAAATAGTGAACTTTTACACAGAGAGAACTTTAAAACATTCATATCCCACCTCGGTTACAGTAATTCTTGAGGCAGCTGACAATATGAAAGCATGCCGCAATCAATAGAATACTACAATAAAAGTTAAACAGAAAAACATATCTAGTCTTTTAGATTGAAGTCATGAGCACCATGACTGCTAATGGCACTGTGTCTCCTGTTATACAGTATTCCTATACTGTTCTTGTCCCCTTTTCATACGTTTACTAGCTATGACTGTGATCCTGTTTCTTTCCAAATGAAATGAAATAGGGCTACCTTTTGCAGGGTGGAGTGCATGTGTACTAGAAATTCAATCAAATCTTTTCTGGACACTTTAGAGCAGGGGTTTTCAACCCTTTTGAGTTCACAGCTCCCTTGACCAACTACATTATTTCTGTGGCACCCCTGTGGGGCTCAGGAGCTGGCAGCCCCTCACCCTTTTTCAAACAACCTCCCTTGTGGAGTGTTCCCTCCGCCTCAGTCTCCTCTCTCCTTGGTAGTCCTCCAGGCAACTGCCACAGCCACCCCTGGTCTCTGAACCGCCTCAGCTCCTGGCAACCCAGCCCCAAAGGCACCATTTGCCTGGGGAGCTTGTAGCCAGGGCTGCTGCAACAAACAGCTGTTCAAGTCTTTGAAAGGCAGGGATGGGAGAGGGCATCAGAGGAGGGAGGGAAGGAAAGAGCAACAGAGGCCAGTGTTGCCTGCAGCACCCCTGACCATTCAAGGCAGCCCAGGGTGCCACGGCATACTGGTTGAAAACCACTGCTTTAGAGAACATGATAGTGGTATTTAGCCAAGCTATGGGAGATTAGGGGAAAATACAAAGTGATAAGGATGGTACCTGACTAAATCTTGGAGCAGATCATTATGATCAGTGGACAAGTTAATTATGACTAACTGAATCCCATTGATTTCAGTGTTTCTACTTGGACTCTGACTTGGATACCACTCTATATGGCTTAACTGTAAAATGGGTAATGTTTCTAACAGCTTTAATAGGCTGTGATATTACATTCATTCTTTCTTCCTCTTAGTTCCCTTATCCAGCATGCTAGAGACTTTTGACATGGGATGCAATTTTACAGTTGAAGCTGAACATACCTTACACACCCACCCCTCCCCATTATCTGTCTGCATGACCTTAGATGAATGCTAGGATATATGTTTAATAAATATAATCTCAACAGTCCAATCAGTTGATCTTGCTAATTTAGACATTTGTGTAATTAAATGTCTAGGTTCAAGAAACATGGCCTAGCTAGGCTGCAACTCAGAATCATGTTGCAATCTTAGATTTATATCACTACAATTACATTCCTGAGAAACCATTGGCTCTTACGGTTGATTTGAATGTGTGTTTTCATGTTTGCTATTGGCATTCGTGCTTTCCATATTACATTTTGTACTTGTAGATCTACACTGGCGGTTTCTACAGACTTTTGTTATAATGTGGCTAATACCACCCATTGTGCACATCTTGTAGCAAGCCTGTACCTCTGCAGTAAATTCCTTGGTAATGACTGGCAGACCAACTCTGCGTTGCAAAGATATCTGCAATCATGCCATGAAGGTTGGGAACACCAACCCCACCATGCGGGAATTCCCTGCAGACGACCGCAGTGGCTGGAGACAGGCAGTCAGGTTGTGCATCCATAGTGACCAGAGAAGGAATGACTGCAGCAAAGGAGCGCAGAGAAAATAAACATCATGGTGCATCTGCAGCAGCACAACCGGATGCCTTCCTCTGTGACAGCTGCAACAAAACATGTGCCTCCTGTGTCAGCCTCTACAGCCACAGCAGGAACTGTACCCTTCCGACTGTTTGACTTCACCCCAAAAGGCGCATTCCTCCATTATCTTCCGAGACAGACGGATGGCAGCAGCAATGACTGGCAGTAACCTGGACACTTCTTAGTGTGATTCAGCCCACACATGAGCTGGCTCTATGGCTGTTGTGGAAAACCCTCACATACATACTAACAGCAGATTTACTAACAGCAGATTTACATCATGGGAATAGTTGTTGTTGTTTAGTCGTTTAGTCGTGTCCAACTCTTCGTGACCCCATGGACCAGAGCACGCCAGGCACTTCTGTCTTCCACTGCCTCCCGCAGTTTAGTCAAACTCATGCTGGTAGCTTCAAGAACACTTTCCAGCCATCTCGTCCTCTGTCATCCCCTTCTCCTTGTGCCCTCCATCTTTCCCAACATCAGGGTCTTTTCCAGGGAGTCTTCTCTTCTCATGAGGTGGCCAAAGTATTGGAGTCTGAGCTTCAGGATCTGTCCTTCCAGTGAGCACTCAGGGCTGATTTCATGGGAATAGTACAGCATGTACATCTGCCTGCAGTGAAATCTAGTGCAAAATTGCATTTTAAAGTTTGCACAGTTAAATAAACGTGTGCTAGGTGGTGCTGCAGGGTAATACATGATTAACTTTCATGGCGGGAATCTCAATATACTGGATGAGAATGAGCCACTTCGTTTGGGAGGACTGGAATTTTGTGCAAATCATATAAAATCGACAGCAGCAACTTGGTACGTATAATTTAGCAGTTCAAAAGCAGCACATAATGACAGCCTGCAGACAGTTAAAAAGAGAGAAAAAAGAATGAATCAAAAAGTTTCTGTGTTGCCTGCATTCATTTCAAGTGCGGTGCTGCTGGTGGCCATGCAGATTTCATTAAAATGAATGGACAGTGCTAAGTAGCACAGGCACGATAGGATCACAAACATGCTGGTTAATTTTCAGGCCTTTGGATATTCAGAATGCTTCTCCAGTTCATGTCTCATTAGGGGAATAATTATCCTACCTAAAATTACCCAGTACTTAAAGCATTTTAGTTTTTAACTTTCAAAGAAAATTGGGGAGGTTTCTTAAAGAATCAGATTGTTTCCTGTATGGATAACCTTCACCACAAAATGTAAAGAATCAGATTTTCATATTGTGCCCCCTCCCTTAAAGCATCAGGATTATCAGTCCTGATTAAAGTACTTTTCTACCAATCCAGGGGGGAAATGTGAATTGAGCTTTCAGAGGTTGCCCCCCCCCCCCCCCAGTTTCTGGAAAAATTATAACTCAAACATTACTGACAAACATTGCTGACACACCTTCAGATCTTAAATAGCTAAAACAATTCTTTTGCTCAGTTCCTGACAATCCTGATCATCCTGCTTTAGCCATCTGTTACAGTGCAAAGTTGATCTACCAGTCTTTGAGGTTAGTCTCAATGGGACTTGTCCCTCTTCTCTTTCTGGAATCTATAGTATCCATCCATCTGGGGATGCTAGCCAGATCCAAGACAAAGCCACAAACAGTGCCCATATGCCTACTTCATGCTGATTCGTGCCTAACAATAAAATGACATACAAAACAATGCCTTAAGAATGATGTGTTTTGACGCCCTCTTGCTGAATCCTTGGACAGCTGGAACTCAGTATAATTGCATCCATTCTCCCATTGCTTCACCT